CCGCCTGCCCTGCCCGCCCCGGGTGCCCTGCCATGCCCGCCCCGCATGCCCGCCCCATGCCCCTGCCCCACGTGCCCCCGCCATGCATCCCCACTGACACTCTCTCCCTCCCACAGAACAACCCCCGGCGGCCGTACTACTGAGCGTGGCATCCCTGTGCGTGGAACTGTCCCGCGTCTCCACCGCGCCATTCCAAGCATTAAAGTCCCAGTGCTCACCACCCCGCGTCCGCGTGTCCAGCGTGGTCACTGTGCTGGACAGCGCCTTGAGGGCTGGGGAGGGAGGGGGGGTGCTAGGGAGGGTCCCGGCTCAGCCTGGGGAGTGGACAGCCTTTCCTCGGGGTCCTGGGCCAGCGTGGGTTTCTGGGCACCTTCCTGTGGGCACTGCCTGCGTCATCGGGGGGGGGGGGGCCCCCCGGGGGGGGGAGGGGGCGCCGGGGCGGCCATGTCCCCCCGCTGCCGGGCCCTCCGCAAGTAGGGTGCACATGAGGTGGCCCGTGCCAGGTGCCCTTAGCCGAAGCCCGGGGCCCCACCGGAGTTTGCAGCTCAGAAAATGGGAAGGGCCTGGTGCCAGCCCGGCGTCCTCTCCACTGAGGCCCTGGAGCCGCGCCAGGCCGCGCGCGCGCAGGGGACTTTACCCTGGAGGGGGAGGGGCGCGAGGCTGGGGCCAGCGCTCTGCCCACAGCCCCAGCCAGAAGCAGCGGCATGGGGTGGGGGGCGCCGTGGGGCACGGGCTGAGCCCAGCGCCTGAGACCCAGTGTCCCAGGGGGCTGTGGAGGGAGCCCGGGGACCCTTGCAGCCCTGGCCAGCCACACCTGCACCCCAGGAGTCAGCTCGGGTATCCCAATCAGTAGTGCGCACCCTGGGTGGGCCTTGAGCCCACGCAGGACCAAGCTGGGGAAGCCATGAGCCCCCCACTCACCAGGGCACACCCCTGAGGCTGCTGGGGCGGGGGCTCCCCACATTCAACCCAAGACCCCCACGGCCTTCACCCGACTTCCACCCAGCAACGTGTCCCTTACCC